TGAAAGATTTAAAAGAGCCTTGTGTACTCCAGGAGCTGCCCCTTCTCGGAGCTTTCATTTCTGAGGCTTTCCTGATGGATGGCCTCAGCCTTTGACTCCCTCATTTTTACTGTCCAACCTGCCGAGTGCTACTTCCTGGCACAACTTGTAAATTCTATTTTTTCATATTTAGCGGAGGCTTAAGGCTTCTGCCACAGAGAAGTGGGGTGGCCGGATATGCTGTAAGTGTAAAATAGACACCAGATTTGGAAGACTTGAGTTTGTGGTTGTGTTTTAAATATATTTACCTGTCCTTTTATTGCTCTCACCAACTCTTGCTCAGGGTCACAGGGGTGCTGCTGCAGGTGGGCCATGCTGGGAGCCCCAGCAGCTTCATCACCCCCTTCCTGCCCATCCCTCCCCTCTCAGACTTTCAGTCCCTCCAGATCTGGTCCAATCTTTCCATGATAAAGACGGGAAAACCAAGCATCTGAGAAGAGAAGGGACTTGCCCAGGGTTCCAAGAACCCTAGACCAGGACCCAGCGGTGCCCATTCCCCGCTCCTGAGTGACACGGCTGGGCCAGGCACAGGGCGAGGCACTGTGAACACAAAGACACATAGAACATGGATCCTCTCCTGAGGGACCTCAGAACCTGACGACAGCGTGGCTTGGGGAGAGAAGCTAGAGACTCCAGCAGCGACAGCCTCATAATAATGGCTAAGATCTGTGAAGCCGATTGACTGCACCAGTCAACCCCAGGCTACAGCCTCACCTGCTTGCTGCCCCATCATCCTCACGACACCCTACAGGTGTGAGTACGGTTAGCCTCTCACTACGCAGACCAAGAAAACCAGTCCATGGATTTTCTACTTTTTATTTGAGCCACAGAATCCTTTCTTCAAGTGAAATTTTATATGGAACCCAAATAAATACATCAGGTAAAACCGGGAGTGAGTCCCCCTCACTTACCCCTAACCCTTTTCGGGGGCCTGGAGGCACTTTCTCAGAGCCTGAGATCTCCTGTTGGCGTAGTTTAAAAACCAGCCGGGGAGTCAATGCTTTCATTTTTCAGAGGAGCAAATAGAGGCCCAGAGAAGGAAAGGAGCTTAGCAAGGGTCACCCAGGGAATCACTGTCACAATTAGCACTCCATCTACAAGTCCTATGAAGCTCAGGCCTGTGCTCCATCCCTGACACCTCTTCTCTCAGGAAACGGAGGCCTTTTATTAGCAGCTATAAAATACAATCTCTTCCAAGCCGTATTTTAAGGCCGAGCTTGCAGTGGGCTCTCTGAACACACTGTTTTCGCCTCCCTCCCACCCTGTCTCTTCCCTACCTCCAGTTCTCCCATTTCCTCGATCACAGGAGGAGAATCCTGCTTCGTAGCAACCGTCCTTGTGAGCCAAGTCGATGAGTGTGGCTTGAAACTGACACCTTCATAGTTTACCTTAGAGTTTTGGTTCTTCTCAGTTTATTTCATGTTGTGCCTCATTGCTCCATAATATTCACAGGACTCCTGACATTAGAAAGGGCTTTTTAAATCCTGTGAAACAGGATTTTAGAAATCAACAGCACCTTGGGGTGTGTAAGTGGTGCATTAACTTTCCTGGATGCAGTAAGAGGAGACTTCTTTAGGAAATTTCATGATTTGTACCCCTCAGGGTGGCATCTCTAGGGGAGACCAAATGCCCCACCACATATCCCTCCTTCAGCAGGCCTCATAGTTGTCACCTCTTTTCCTTTCTGGCTCTTTTCCCAGCCCCTTTTCCTCAAGCTGGCTTTGATAAAGGATTTCTTTCTCCCCTGCCCCCTCAGCCTGGCTGGTCCATTCTCCAGGGTCTGTCCATGACTCTTTTTCTAAGGCTTTTACTATAAAGTATCTAGAAAATGAGGCAGCTGGAAGAGGTAACAAGTATGAGAAGCTCACAGGGTTCCCAACCTGTTTGATGCTCCCCAGAAGTGTGTCCCAGTTGGTCCTGTCCCTGTGTCCCTTCTTGTGTGGTTCTGATGTGACCCAGAGGTGAGGCAAAAAGTGTGTTTTCCAAACTTGGTTTTGTGAGATTCCATTTCTGGGTACAGTTTCTCAGACACGTGCTTTTATGATAAAAAAAAAAAAAAAAAAAAAGACTTGGGGAATTCTGCTTGCAACCTATTCCTCTTGGAGACTCCACTGTATACCCACATACCAACATTTTTGAGAAGTCCTGCAGTCCAGAGTCCTAGGGAACTTCATATAACCCAAAACCCGCTTGAGCACCAAAAGCTTGTGTTTGCAGCCCCTCTAAGAGATGCTAGTTTTAAGGCAGTTCTGGACATCTCTGTAAGTTGGTTCTGGAAGACTCCAAGCCCTTCATTAGAGTCCCTCTTGGCCCCAGCATAGAGATCATGGATCCTCTCCCCGTCCTGGCTTCACTTAGGAAAAGCTAAATTAGGCTGCTTTCTGATGGCCTTCAGGAAGGTTTTTTCATCGATACCAGAGCACTGTCAGCTGGTTGTGCTTTCTTTGGAAGTAATAGAAATGGATCAAGTGGCGGGGGGCCATTTATGGTCTGAGCATTGCGGACGTTAGGCCAAGCTGAGCCATTCTTAGAGAAAAGGATGGCACTGGGGTTTCTGTATTTGGGAAGCAAGTCCTTCTTATCAAGCCAGCTGTCGTATACTTGGACTTCTCCTGCAAATAGGCCCACACATGCACAGGCTTACACTGATAAAATGTGCTCTCTGCTTTCTGAAACAGAGACTTTTTCTGTTAGCTTAGTGAACTTTGGTTTTCATTATTTTAGAAGACTTTAATTATTTTTAATTAACAACTAATCCCAGCTTGTGGATCGATTGGTTGATTGTCCTTTCCCAGTTTTCATTTTTCTCTACTCTAGAAAATTCCATCATGATTTCACAGATAAGCCATGGGTGGGTTGGCTGGTTGGCTTGCTTGGAGGTCTACATACATACATTGCTGTGAAAAAGGTCATATCTATTACATAAGTTTGCCTGGGCTGCTGTGACAAAATTCCAGCACTGGGTGATTTAAATAACAGAAATGTACTGTCACACAGTGTGGAGGCTAGAAGTCTGAGATCAAGGTGTTGGCAGGGTGGATTCCTTCTGGGGCTGGCTTCTGGTGGCTTGCTGGCAATCTTTGGCATTCCTTGGCTTGTAGTAGCATCACCCCAATCTCTGCCTTCATTGTCACATGGTGTTCTCTTAGTCGCTGTGTCTGTGTCCAAATTTCCCCTGTTTATAAGGATCCCAGGTAAAATATTGGATTAGGGGCCCACTCTATCCAGTAAGACTGTGTCTAAACTTAACTACTTACATCTGCAATGACCCTATTTCCAGGTAAGGTCACATTCTAACTTGCAATTTGATACTAGGTTACTGAGATACTGGGGGTTAGAAATTCAACGTATGAACTTTTATTTTTATTTTATTTATTTACTTTTTTGAGACTGGATCTCACTCTGTCACCCAGGCTGGAGTACAGTGGTGGGAACGTGGCTCACTGCAGCCTTGACCTCCTGGGCTCAAGCAATCCTCCCACCTCAGCCTTCTGAGTAGCTGGGACTATAGGTGCCTTATGACCATGCCTGGCTAATTTTTGTATTTTTTGTAGAGACGGGGTCTCACTATATTGTCCAGGCTGGTCTCAAACTTCTGGGCTTAAGCAATCCTCTTACCTCAGCCTCCCAAATTGCTAAGATTATAGGCATGAGCCACCGCACCCAGCCTTATATGTGAGTTCTTAGGAGACACAATATAACTCATCACACTGATTCTATGCATGGTCCTACATTTAGCTAAGCTGGAGGACAATAGGGCTTGAGGTCCTGCTGTCCCTCCTAGCTCAGGGGAGGTGGTGTGGTGGAGTAGAGAGCACCCTCGGACTGATGTCAGGGGTCCTGAGTCAAGCCCTAGGCCATCCCTCAGTTTTTTCACTAATAAAAATATTTTAATTAAAAGACCTATTAGTATCCAGGAAGATCTTCAAGGTATAAAAAAGGAAAAAAAAAAAAAAAAAAAAAGACGAACCTTCAGGATGTGTGGAGAGGCTCAGATGAGTTAACAGGTCTGAAAATGTCATGGTTATGGGATGTAGCAGAGACAGGGTCCAAACACAGGCGTTAGGTGTCATCTGTGAAACAGGAAATGAACGGTAGGCTTCTCCAGCAAGAGAGAGCAGTCTGGGAAGCAGCAGAGGTGAACCCTGGTTCCCCGGGTCCTGATGGCAATCCAATTCTTCCCTCTGAACTGGCTCCCTCTGGGGAGAAATGGGGGCTCTGGACTAGGCAGCCCCCTGGCCATGCCACTGGGTGACCCCGCAGAGAAGGTCTGCAGCCAGCAGACCTGAGTTTAAATGTGGAGCTGCTGCTTCCTAGTAGTGTCGTTTGGGTAAGTCACTTAACCTCACTAAGTCCTTGTCTATGAAATGGGGATAATAGTAAATACCTACCTCATAGGTTAAATGAGAAAGTCCTTGTGAAGTGCTTAACACGCAGCTTGTCATAAAGTAGTAAAAGTTAGCTATTTCTATAAACTACCTTTTGTAAGGAGTGAATGAGATGGTGTAGGTGACGGGCCTGCATGCAGTAGGTGCTCAATTAACCATCGATACGCCCCTGCCCCTTTTAAACTCAGTTTTGGCAGAGTTTCCAGCATTCATGATTCCCTCTGGGGTGTAGGGTGAAGGGTGAAGAGTTATACAGAAAAGTATTTGAACTCCTTGAAGAATAACATTGTTTTCAGGCACTCATAAGCCATTTATAATTACCCATTTACTTGTAATTAATGTCCATGCCAATTATAACCAATTACAATTCATTAACTTACATGCTCTCAGGACTTTATCTTGCACAGTTTTATTAGAGAATTAGCCAAACTTAGTGTAGTATTCCACCATAGTCATGATTAGCCTGGTGATTCATAAAATGTACCCAGGCCACCGTGTGAATGATGAGCCTCCATTTGCTCTGAGAGAGCAAATTTGAGATGGGTCTTTCTAAGATTCTTGTCTTTCTGGTAGGTATTAATCAGCACAGAAACTCAGGAGACACAGACAGGTTCTTCCACGATGTCGTACAGACGAGAACTAGAGAAATACCGTGACCTGGATGAAGATGAAATCCTTGGAGCCCTCACAGAGGAAGAGCTGAGGACCCTGGAAAATGAGCTGGATGAGCTGGACCCTGATGTGAGTAGGTGCTAAAGGGGAGCACACTGTCACCAGTGAGGGGACCTGGGGAGGGACAGGTGGATGCTTCCTAAAGCCACCACTTCCTTTTTCCTTCCATGGCAATGATGTTAGAATAACTTTGCCTTTGCAGATTTTTCTTTTAATGTGTTGTGTTAGGGTTCTCCAGAGGAAGAACCAATAGGGTGTGTGTGTGTGTGTGTGTGTGTGTGTGTGTGTGTGTGTAGAGACAGAGAGAGAAGGGGAGAGAGAGAGATTTATTATAAGGCGTTAGCTCACAAGGCTGTAGAGACTGGCAAGATCTGCAGTTGCTAAGGTGGAGACCCAGGAGAGCCGATGGTGTAGTTCCAATACAAATACAAATAACCAGCAGGCCGAAGACCCAGGAAGAGTTGGGTCTGGGAAAAGATGTTTTAGTTTGAATCCAAAGGCATAAAAAAGCCAGTGTTCCAGCTCAAGGCAGTCAGGCAGGAGGAAATCCCCGCCTACTTGGAGGAGGGTCAGCTTTTTTTCCCCATTCAGGTCTTCAACTGATTGGATGCCCCGCCCCCCACCGCCATATCAGGGGGAACAATCTGTGTTACTCAGTCTACTGATTCAAATATTAATCTCATCTAGAAACACCCTCACAGACACACCCAGAATCATGTTTGACCAAATGTCTGAGCATCCCATGGTCAAGTCGACACCCAAAATTAACCATCACAGTCTACCCCTTGTCAGCTTGGCACACATGTGCATCTCTTTAAACCATACCTAATTTCCAGATAAAGACAGTAATGATGTCATAATTCTGCCTAACAGGATACAACTATCCTGGGTACAATGGAAAACACACTATCACCTTCCCCAGAAGAGGAGGTAAAGTCCATGAGTGATGTTTATTCTTCTCCTTGCTGTCCTGTAACTTAAATACTATAATATAAAATTAATGATACTTAAATCCTATTATACAAAGCCAATACAATCAATAACAGTAAAGTCAGTATCAAACAATCTTGTGTTACATGATAAGGGAATAAGAAAGGGAAAAAGCAAAGATATTTGCTACACACAGTCACACACAAGTGTTCACAAAACAAGGAGGAAGTACTCATGACAATTATAGTCTTCATTTCTGTAACTACTCAGGTAGTTGTAGCTGGTATTTATAACTACCCTGCTTCATTACCCATTCTTTGCCTTTAGCAAGCACCTCAGCTGGTTGTGATTCTTTACCCGATGGGGTGACCTTTCATTTCTGAAAGGCCTGGGCCATTAGTAGTCCTGCCTAGATTCGTTTGTTGTAGTTTTCCATGGACCCTAATCACAGGGCATGGTAATACTTAAAAATGCCCTAAGGGCTCTCCTGTATCCAGATATACACTTTCTCGCCTCCCTTGTGCAATAGCTATCCAATTTCTCCTTGGTAGTCAGCATCCGTCACCCCCAGTAACTCCCTTCTTTGCTCGTTGATTCAGAGTCATGAGGAGCCCAAAGCGGGCTGGTGGCAGTTTTAACTTCCAGTTTAATGGAATTGTTGTGTCTCCTAGTGGAACTTTCCTCCTTTGAAACTAAGACTTCTAGGCTAGCAGACCACAGGGTCGTGGGAACAATAAGTAAGAGTTTTGCTAGTGGATCACTAGGAGTAATGGTGAGTGGCGCCACTCCTATCTCCAACCTTGATACCCTGACCCATGAATCCTAGCTATGGGAGAAATGGCATCAGCAACTGCCACTGATTCAGAGCATATACCGCCTTCTGGAGAATGTTGCCCCAGCCTGTAAGGTGTGGCCACCTAGCTGGCACTGTAACTGTGTCTTCAAAAGGCCATTACCCCATTGTATCAAGCCAGCAGCTTCAGGATGGTGGAGAAGATGTGTCGTGGAATGAATGAGCTGAGAAACAAAGGACCAGAAGAATCCTTCTCATTTAATGTTTGATGTTTTATCATTGCATTTCTTAGTTGGCACATTTAGAAGTGTTAAATGCTCAGAATTCATCCCTGCAGTCAGGGTACACAGTGTTAAGAGTCAAAAGTCTGTTTGGTTGTGTATGTGGTTTAGCAAGTCACACTAGAACAGTAAGCATGGACATAGGTGGCCTCCTAGGCAGGGGTCTTCATCCTACAGCTATACCCCAGGGACCCAGGTCAATGACCAGCGCAGAGAAGGTAGATAATGAAAGTTACTGAACTGAGTAAATGTTCCACGTTGCATATTTTTAATTAAAAATGGAATGTATCACATCCTTTTTTTAAACCAGCCATTGCTCAACTCTGGTTTCATAGTGATCCATAAAGAAAACAACACTTCAGTCTCACTCACACACAGATGGCCACTGCTAACATCCAGGGAGCACAGTTCAGATGGAAAAATGCAGGACTGGAAGTTAGGTGTTTTGCTTCCAATCCCAGCCCTGTCTCTTCCACTCCATGTGACCGTGGACCAAGCTGCCATCCTTCCTAGACCTCAATGTCCCCAGCCATGGAATAACAGAGTTGGCTGGTCATTTTCAGGGTTAAGCTAACCTGACTTATAATCTGGTCTTATACCCAGGTGTGATTAAGTGGCTTCATTCCAGATAACTCAGAATCCTTGCCTAGGGCTCCTGGGTCCCAGGCCCCATAGAATTACACATCCCTCCAGCAGTGTGTCCTCCTCTTCCTGATATTCACAACCTTCCCCTGCCTGCCACAAGAACATGGTTTCCTGATGAAGCTGCTCAAGTTGATCAGAAGTCAGCATTGGTGGAAAGAGCCTTGCGTTTCTTTCTTCCTCCGCATCATCTCTCCCCATTAGCCTGTGTTTCAGTAAAAACAAGCCATGTAGGCAAGAAAAAATCAAGCTGTAAAATTATTCTGTTCTAATTCTATCCTAGATCACTGTCACACAGAATTCCAAGAACAAACAACTTTATAAAGGGAGAACAAAAGAGGCATGTACCCAATTCCAGTTAACTCAATAAATGTGACTTGGTTACCTGCCGAGCACCAAGCACTGTGCTGGGCACCAACAGGGGAGCCTGGCTGGGACTCTGCCTTTCAGGAGCACAGGCTGGTGGGGACACAGGCATAATACACTGCGCTTGACACGGAGCAGACAGGAAGCTCTGCTAGGAGATGAACTCTTACTGGTGCGAGGCATCACAGAGCAGGTAATACTGGAACTGGGCCCTGGATTTTTCTAATTCCATGCAGAGTGAGGGCCTTGAGAAAGGCCACAAGGAGAGTGTTGTGTAGGGAAGGCAATTGGGGATGGGAATCTTAGTGTGGTTTCTGTGGAGGGTCAGATGAGACTAGAAAGGGGGGTTGGGATAGATAATGTGGGGGAAGAGAGGGCGGCAAGGCCTACTGAAGGGTTTAGACTTTGCTCAGTAGGTTCAGGGAGCCCTTGAGGGTCAGAGACTCAAAGAGTTCATTGGTTTTGGGAGGTGACACTGAGGACACATGGCCTGGAGGGGTGTCAGGGAGATGGGTGAGAGGTGGGAGGCGCTCCTGCGGGGGAATCTTTGCCACTCCCAGGGAGAAGTGCACCTGAGGGCCCCGTGGGCCTGTTGGGCTGTTTGAATTGCCCTGAGCTGCTGCATGGGGATGAGGTCAGGTCAGGCTGTGGCTGCAAATAAGGCAGGTGATGACAAGGGTCAGAGCCAAGCGTCAGACCTGGGAGTGGAGGGGGACAGATGGAGGAGGTCTCTCAGAATCCAGAGTGCATCCACCAGGAACTGCATTCCGTTTCACCCCCACACTGGCAAAGAGCTCCCTCAGGTCTGCCACCCTACATATCAGAGCCTCCAGCCTCAGCAGCAAATACCCAGGGCCCCTGCAGCTCTCACACAGCCCGCTCTCCCGCCCAGGTGATGAGCAGGGGAGGGACACTCCACTTGTGCTGCTGGAGGGACAGGGCACCTGGGGCTCAGCTTGCTGAGGGTCACAGAACGCGGGCAGGCACGGAGACTCGGATTTCAAACAGGCTCCAGAGTGTGTGCACCTCCCGCTCTGGCAGGAGAAAGGTAACTGAGCACAGGGGTGTGGGAGCAGGCATGGGCCATCTGAGACCTGCGATTCTCACCCCACTGTGGTTTCCCAGTTGGCATTTTCAAAGACCCCTTTCTCTTTCAGTTCAAAGAAAAGAGAAGAGAAACCAGAGAGAGGATAGGAGATAATGGAGGCCAGTGGGTTTCTGTCCCAGCCACACAATCGGCCCCTTCATTAAGATCAGCTCTGTTACCTGATTTGCAAGACAGTATGTGAGCTTCAAAAAGGCCTAGAGGGCCTCCCTTCTTTTGGAGAGCACAAACATTCCAGTTCTAGTCTCACCCTCCCTTGGCCCATGCTCTGAAATCACAGCACAGGGAGAGGCCAAAGATATGCAGACAATGAGAGACTCCTAGCCGGCCAGCAGGTGTCCGCCCCTCCCACTGCTTCAGAGCAGGAGCAGAGCCCAGAGAGGGGAAAGAACTTGCTCTAGGTCATACATCCAAGCAGAACCAGATCAGAACCCTGGTCCCTTGGCACCAAGGCCACTGCCCTCTCTGTTATAGTCCATATTCCTCCTGTTTTTATTTTTGTTTAATGAGTGCTTAGATGGCACTCAACTATTTGCAGGTGCTGTTCTAAGGACTTCGAAAATATTAACTCATTTGACCATCATCATGATCCTAGGAGGCAGGCCCTGTTATCATCCCCATTTTACAGATGAGGAAACTGAGAAGTGAAGTAACTTGTCCAAAGTCCCACAGCTAGGCGATGGCAGAGCCACTATGTGCGGGTCTGGAGTCCACAACTTAGCCATGCCACTGCAAGTCCTCATGGGAGTGTTCAGGGAGAGAGTTTGGCTGCAGATGTGCTCTAGTTTTGTGGTTGGGGGCTGCTGTATGAAAATCATTCCTCTTTTTTCTGGGAAAGAGCCTGAGGTGCAGAAGTCCAGATTCCAGTCCTGGCTCTGCTCCGGACGTGATTTTCCTTCTTTGGATCTCAATTCTCCTGTCTGTAAAATGGATGCAGTCGGCCTAGATGGCC